GACCTCTCTGAGCAGGTGACATTTCAGCTGAGATTTGGCAAATGTTGGGCATGGGATGAGGAGGAAGAGAATTCCTGCTGGAAGAAACCACATAAAAACTGTATCCTAATGTAAACAGTAACGCATGGCCCATTTTACATACACAGACACACACACACACCAGCACAAAAAAAGAGAAATAAAATTAATGTTTAATTAATTCAAGGAATGGGAATGTAGAATTTTTGGTGGGGGAAGGGATTATGAACTTTTTTTTAATTGATTTTTTTAAGTCCAGGCAGCTCTGACTCAATAACTCACATTATCCAAGGTGGTTGAACACTTTTTAAAAACAGCCCCTGTCACTTATGTATATAATGAACCTTGACCTGTACATTGAATCATATACAAATTCAACTTGAGTGGATCATAGACCAGAATATAAAACCAACAACCATAAAACTTCTAGAAAATACGGGAAAAAATATGTGCAACTTTAAGTTAGGCAAATATTGCTTATGCAGGACATAAAAAGCTCAAATCAGAAAATTGAAAGCCCATTTTGTTCAATATTTAAAACTTCTGCTCTTTGAACTCTTACAACCTAACAACAAAAAGACAACACAGTTTTTAAAAAGGCACAGGGTTTGAATAGATATTTCTCTAAAGAAGTCATACACATGGCCAAGAAGACATGAAAAGATGCTCAGCATCACAAGTCATGAGGGAAACAAAAATTAAAACCACAATGAAATACCCCTTCATACCCACAAGGAGAGCTAGACTCAAAACAACAGACAATAACTTGGGCTAGAGATGATGTGGAGAAGTTAGAACCTGTTGGTAGGAACATAAAATGACATTGCTTCTTTGGAAAATGGTTCGGTGGTTCCTCAAAAGGCTAAACATAGAATTATCATATGTCTCAGCAATTTCATTCCAAGGTACATACCCAGGAAAAAGGGAAACATATGTCCACACAAAAATTTGTACACAAATGTTCCTGGCAGCATTGTGCATAACAGCCAAAAAGTGAAAACTACTCAAGTGTCCATCGACTGATGAATAAATAAAATGGGGGATAGCCTTACAGTGGAATATTATTCAACCATAAAAAAGGAAGCTGCATTTAGCTTCAGCGACATTATGTATGAGTCTTGAACAGATTATGCTGGGTGAAAGAAGCAGGAAACAAAAGGCCACATGTTGTTTGATTCCATGAGTGATTTACAGGAAATGTCCAGAATAGGCAAATCTATAAAGATAGAAAGTAGATTAGTGGTTGCCAGGATGTAGGTGGGAAGGAGAAAATGGGGAGTGACTTCTGATGGTTATGGGGTGTTATGGGTCCCTTTTCAGAGCTCCGTACAGGATTTCATCAAAAACAACAGGCTCTTGGTCTCCTAGAGCAAGAGCAAATACCCTAGAGACAAATGTGGATAAGATGGTTAAGATGGGGCTCCATAACTGGGTTATAGGAGGTTCCAGAAGCAACCAGGATTTAGGAATTTAGCCAGCATTCTTGTGATGGAGGTGCAATGTGAAGGCATAAGAAATTTCTGTGCCTTAACTACTGAGAGGCAATCATCCTTAACCTGTCTTTGAGCTGCAGGGGTAGGCAAGGGAAACTGGGGGCCATGAAGAGAAACTGTGAAGGATACCCCTGTGCCTGAGATCAGGAAAGCCAAGGTGGGTTTTAGACCACTGCAAAAATTTAAAAAGAGGTCTGGTGTCAACTAGCAACAGGTGTCCTTTGCAGGAAGACTGGTGTGTCTTCAGGCTCCATCAGGAGGTTGCTTTCTCAGACCACGTCACAGAGCACAGAAGGGCTATTTGTCAATCTAGTCCACATAACAGCTGCAGGAAGCAATTGCCTGGTAAAGTGTCGAGGTGATAAGGCTGGAAACTGTCTTCTCTTCTGTGCTCCCATGACACTCTGGGAGCTAAACTACTGCTAAAACATTTCTTTTATTTCTCCCCTTCATTGTCTTCCAACAAATATTCACTGAGTGCCAGTATGTGCCAGGAAATATTTTAAGCACTTGGGGATCCAAAGATAGCACAGAAAAGGTTTTAAAGAATTTATGTGAAAAGTAGGAAAGA